ACCTTCCCCTGGTGAAGCCATGCTGGCTATCTAGGATCACGTGCTCGTTCTTTATGTGATCAAGCATATTATATATTGTGGTCAACACTCCAATCTTCATTACTAATGCCCCATTGTGTCCCTATGGCAGATCAGGACACCTCCTTTGGTGCCTCACATAGTTATGCAGCCACAGATATCTGGCCAGAAGGTGGGGTACAGGCAGCCGGGACGTGCCCCAGTACAAGCGGAAGTGTTGACCCAGGATAGAAATACAGCCTGTATCTTGCCCTGGAGGGCAGACCTTCCCCTCCTGGTACCCCTGAAACATCTGTATTACTCCCTGTGAGTCTTCGAGCCTTCAGGATCACCAGAAGGAATTAAATGCCATCAAAGCGTTCCAGTGTTACAGTCAGATCACGTGCAACACCTGGTGATGGCCTATATGGGACTGATGGAACATAAGATGGACCTGCATCTGATGACCGCATGTCTCTAGTAACTTCATCGAGCACTGGCCCATACAAGAATATCAATGTTCACCATTTGTCACTTGTCTCGAATTGTACCAACATGTGTCACGATGGAAATTGTATAAGCGTCGTGATATAGTGGGTCTCTGTATTAGGAAAAGCTTACCCATTAGTCAACCTGATCACTGGTTCATGCTGTGAAGGGGTGGAATGTATGGGAACTGCTGAGTCATGGCCTGAACCTCTGATTAATCACCTGAGGTGAGCAAGAAGTCAGCCCTGGGAGCACAGGTGAAAGCAATTCACCTGTGCTGCAGGTGAATTCACCTCTCCTAGACCCATTTAAGAGCTGACTACCAGTGGGGAAGGATCTCTCTCTTCAGAAGATCCACTCCACTGGAGTTTCCTGAGCAAGCCTACGAGATGGGTAAGCATCCTATTTATTCTCTTTGTCTCACTGTGTCTAACTCTCTTGCTTATTTCATTATGATAACATCTTAATATTATTTGATTGTATAATATTCCTTTATATAATTTTCATTGATTATACAGAGGGAAATATCAAGAAGTAGTTCCTAGGGCAGAAGAGGAGGACAACAACACAGACTCAAGCCCAAACTTATTTTTAGATTCTCAGTGGGATGATATTTCCAGTGTTATCCCAGTTTTCTCTGCTGAATTTATTCCCAGGGTTTGCCTTTCTCCACCTCTTCCCCTCAGTCTGCTTGTTGCAGTTGCAGCCAGTCCAGAGCTGCTTCTGTTCTCCAACAGGCTTGTTCAGGCTGATGAGATGCAAACAGACCTAAGATGTTTTAAAAAAAATAACAAGAGATCAACAAATTTTAAAGATCAAAACATTTTGCACAGGTCTCATACGAATCCTTCTGATACTCTTAGATCAGTTATTTAGGAACTCAAGGTCCTTTCCAATCCCTGACATGACTCTGATTTCCTAATATCAAGCTCCCAAACCACAGTGTCCATCTCCACAATGCTCTTCACAAGAGCAGCCTTTAAAGGTGTTTTTCGTACCACAAACCTGCAACAGAACATATTGTAGAGTAATAAAACCAGGAACAATACCTGCAAAGGTCAAACAGACATGGTCATCAAGAGTATACATTTTTCTTACAATCCTTTTCTTCTGAAGGATGTTAACAGATAATGTGTGCATCCAACACAGCTGTATCCAGCACTAAATTTTCAAGCTATTATATCAGAATAAAGGCATTGTTCTAATTTTCAATATTAACTTATTATTTTGAGGTGGTATAATACTAAGCCTTTTCACAATGATCTAGACATACAGTTCTGTGAAGGCTGTGTCATCCTCACCAAGCAATAAATAGTAATGTCTGGGATCTGTTAGGAAGTAAAAACCATATATTGTAGTAAGCATAACAGCAGAAACTTGCAAAGTTGCAAAACTTGTGGTTTACAAAGTCAATACAGATGCAGCCCCAGAACAAAACTCTTACAAAGTAGAAGATAAAGGAAATGAGGTGGTTACAGACACATGAGTGCGGGGAGATAAAGACAGCACAGATCAGTGTGATAACCAGTGTTCTCAGTGTACTATGTGCTTATCTGCAATCATGCTACACTGATCTAAAAGTTAATTGCTGACAAAGAAGGGCAACTCTGCTCAATTCTTGTGCCCCTGTAATTGTCTTCACTTACTTTGACACTGAAACGCATCTACTCCTAGTTTGTGAAATACAACAGGCATAAAACTACTCATAAAAAAAACAATTGTTTTTCTGATATTTTAGCTTCCAACTCATTACAAGATCAGATGAGTAACAGTGATGGCACAATAGACAAAGTGGGAACAAGTGAGTGTAGAGTGGCTGTAGGAAAAAATTGCTTTTGAGAATAACTAGCTGTGAGGTTTACTTTGCTACAGAATAATGCCAAATCGCGGCTTAAGTGCTGTCCCTGGTTTCATGGGTATTTGAGCAGGGAACAGTTTTGAAGGTAGACAGTGATGTACTGCAGACATTTATGAGAAGCTCCTTCCACTCATGTTCATAGAAAAAAAACCAAACACCACCACATGAGGACTGCAGCTTTGAAAATTTCTAAGAAAGACTAATGGAGAAGATGCTAGAGTCAACAGCTGATAAGAAGATAAAGTTGATAAAGAGCATAAAGTTTTTTTTAGTGGTTGATTTGAACCTTAGTATTTCCCCTCATAAAACTTTTTTTCTTAGAAGATACAAATCTATAAATTCTGGAAATTTTGAGCAGTGCTTTGTCAATGAGCTGAAGAAAATAAATGAATGACAGTGACCAGTGATTAACTCACGATTTTGAGCTGAAAGTCTCAAGCATGACTGAAATAGCATGTAAGCGTCCCTTTCCCTTTCTTCGCTTTCTCAAAATCTGTTTGTATGCACTACCCGCTTTTCATAGAGCTGACCCTTCTCAGCACTTTTTGGTGGGCCTGTTCCTGCAAGCACACAGGAAGGTCCTCCTGGGCAGGCAGGAGGACAGCTTGCACACCAGGGCAATACCCAAACAGTTTTTCCTCACTGGGATGTGAGGAAACAGCCTCAAGTTGTACTAGGGAGGTTTAGATTAGATGTTAGGAAGAATTTCTTCATGGAAGGAAATATGGAAGGCAAAATATTGCCTAACCAATACATATTTTTTATATATACATCTGTACAGTAACACAGAATGGAGACATTACTACTTCAAACAACCATTCCCTGTTTCTGCAGTCTATGTTAGAAATTTGGACTAGGTAAAGGAAACATTTCAATATATCTTAGTCTTTTTTGGCTCTTGAAAATACATACCTACTCTGTTTGCACTGATGATGGAACTACTCAATACAGAAAGCTATAAATGAGCAAGCTTTCAAAGAAAACATGATTTAGCCTCCAGTGAGTCCTGTGCCTTACATAGTCCTAGTGACTAAATTACTAGTCGTGTATGAAATACGGAAACGGGGCCAAAGGGAAACAGAGCCCCTTCTGGAAGGATGAATACCACGGTACAAACAATGATGCAATATGTCTTCAACATAAGTTTATCTTTGTTTCTTCTAAAATATTATAATTTTTTTAAAATTTATAATTATAAAATTATTAAAAATTATAAACATGAATATTCTGCATCTCTTCTCATTCCACTCTAAGAGTGAAATGTATATGCAGTGTATGTAAGAAGTGTTAAAGACCCTCACCTTGCAACTGGATCAACAGTCATAATAATTTTATCCTTGAAAATACTTGGAACATAGAAAAAAAGCAAGCAGCAACCAGACATTAAAAGTGGAGAACAATAAATGTACATTCAATACAACAAGTTTTCAGTTAGTGTGTATTTTCCCAAATTGGTTTCAAGCACAATAATACTCACAGATGTTATTTACAGGAATCTAAGTATACTGTTTTTTTGCTGTGTTTTGTTGTCACTGAGGTGCTGTATAGCAGAAATTACACTGCTGGTTATTAAGAGTGACAAGATTTTCCCTGTAATCTATTTTTGGACAAATAAAACTGTATTCCCTGATTTGTATTTTGTTGTATAATTTATTGCTTTTTATTTACCAAAACAATTAGTCTTGAAGAGCTTCTGATAAGATACATGGCGAGTTTGAGAAATCTTACATATAGAAAGTTAAAAAACACTGTTTTAAATGACAATGCTATTTTTCTTCTATAATTTAAAGAGCAATATAGAGAGGTTATAAAAAATGAGCTGAGATAAGAGAACAAAAACAAATGCTGTTTATGTGAGACCACAGCAGAAAAGGAGTATGGAACTCTGCCCTGGGATGGACAAGGAGTCAACTCAATTATATTTGCCCAAAACTAGATTAGAGACAGTGTTGTCACCATTAATAACCAATGGTGCCATTTCTCTTATACAGCACCTCAATGACAACAAGTGGTGCAGAAAAGCACTAGTGAACTTGTTCTGGGTGTCTGTATTCATTTGGGAAGTACAACTAGTGCTCTACTCTTCACCAGTGCAGCCTCACCTTGAGCACTGTGTGCAGTTTTAGGCATCACAATATAGGAAAGATATAAAACTATTAGACAGCATCCAAAGGAGGGCTACATAGATGTGAAGGATCTAGAGAGCAAGGTGTATGAGGAACAGCTGAGGTCCATGGGTTTGTTTGGCCCCAAGCAGAGGAGGCTGAGAGGAGGCTATGTTGTGGCCTGCAGCTCCAGTGCTGAGCTCTGCTCTACGGTGATTGTGACAGGGCCTGAGAGAATGGCATAGAGCTGCATCAGGAGAGGGTCAGGTAGGGGTTAGGAAAAGTTTCATCACCAGATGTCGGTAGGCTGCCCAGGGCAGTGGTCACAGCCCCAAGCTGCTGGGGTTTAAGGGGTGTTTGGACAATGGACAAATGATTTGAATTTTGGGTGGTCCAGTGTGGAGCCAGGAGTTCGGTCCCATCCAACTTGGGATATTCTATGGTTCTATGATTCTATGATCATATGTAGAAGGCCTTCTTCAGACAGTTGGTAGAAGTCTCACATTTGCTCTGATCCTCACAGAGGACTTTAGTGCTCCTGCTGCCTGATGGTGGTGCAACACAACAAAGCACAAGCCACGCAAAAGGCTTGGGAAGCACACTGATGACAAATCTCTAAAAAAGATGATCAAAGAGCCAACAAGGAGAGGTACTTAGCTGAACACGTACAAATGAGGAAGGATTTGTCAGGGATGGGAACATCCTGGACAGGTTTGGCTGCATTGACCATGAGATGTTGGAATCCTGGAAGGATGGAACAAAGCAAAAAGCAGGATTACAACCAAGATTTTAGGAGAATCTGGATTGATCAAGGACCTACCTGAAAGACTCCCCTGGGATATGGTTCTAGATAGAGGAGGGATCTATGAGAGATGGCCAATTTTCAAAGATCAGCTCCTCTAAACTCAATAATGGTCCACCTTGACAAGCACAAGACTGAGCAAGGAGGCCTGCAGAGATAAACAAGGAATTCCTAATAGAACTCAAATATAAAAATAGTTGAAGCAAGGACAGAGGAGGAATCTTGGAAGAATATACACACATCTGAGTATGCAGGGAATGAGTTAGGAAAGCCAAAGTCAACCTGGAGTTTAATCTGGTGTGGGATGTGAACACAAGAAAGACTTCATGAGTTTATCAGGAACAAAAAGAAAACCAGGAAAAATGTGAGTCCAGTGCTGAATGGGGCAGCAGCCTTGTGACAGTGGACACCATAAAAGCTGAAGTATTCAGTATGTTCTCTGCCTCAGTCTTTAAGACCAGCTTTCAGAAACAGCCACTCTTAGAGACATGGGATATTCTGGGGCAAGGACAGCTTGGTGGAAGAGGATTAGGGAATATTTAAACAAAATAAACAACATAGGTCCATGGGGCCTGATGGGAGGCACCCATCATCAAGAAGGACAAGAATGGTCAAATATGAACATCATTAAATTCAGCACTGGGAAGTGCAAAGTACTTCACCTCAATAAGGATAACCACATGTATCAGTACACGCTAGGGGCCAACTGGCTGGAAAGCAGCCCAGCATGAAAGGATGCGGGGATCTAGGTGGACAAGGTGAGTGTGAGTCAGCAATATGCCCTTTTGGCAAAGAACAAGAGCATCCTGGGCAGTACTGGAAAAACTGACAGAGGAATGAGGGAGGTCTTAATTAGGTCATGAGATCGCTCCTTCTTCAGAGAAAGAAAACTACACGTGATTTAATTATTTTTCTGTATTCCTTCATCAAGTGGTTGATTAGAATCCCAATGACAAGGCAGAAGTACTATCCTGTAGCTGCACAGTCTGCTTTCTGCTGTGCTTCTGACATTCAAAAAAATGAAGAAATCAGGAACTATAGTACTTTGTTTCCATGTTCTAAAATAAAATATTAACATCTAAGAATTCTTGAGGAATTTTCAGCTCCAAAGAGGCTTAGATAAGATGTTCTGCTATTTTTTATTTATAGCATACATTCCTACTAGCTGGAGATTCCCTTTTGAAGAATAAAATCAGGACACAGAAAGATCTTCTCTATTCAGCTGCTGCACTTACTCCCACTAGTGCAAACTACTGAACATGATGCGAGTGCCCTTATTCTAAATATTTACATTTAGAGACTAAGATGACAGACACTAAAATAAAAATTTAGCATTGCATTGATTTTTTGTGTTTTTGTTATTGCCCCACTGGAACACAGCAGAGCCACCAATATAATTGTAGTGTGCAATGCTATCTGAGTAATCCACTTTTTATCAAAATGTAGAGGCTTGCATTTCAGGTGCTACTTATTAATATTCTATACAATGCCAGGGCAAAAAACAAATGGCAAAATTTAAAGTATCAAACAAGAAGCTGAAAGAATTAATTCAAGACAAATTTACCATTAGTGCAATCCCTTTTAGGAAGCAAGAAAACTATAATCCACCCTCACATGAATATCGCCAAATTTTGATAACATTACTGCTTATCAAATAGAATCTAAATCATTTTTGAGACTCTGCCATTTAAACAGACAGACGCTAGCTCCATTTCCAGCAACATCAACACCCATGGAGACGGGGGATGTAGGAAATCCCACTAAAGTCATGAGGTGACACCAAGTTCAGTTGGTAAAGAAACACTAAACCAACAGTAATTCTTCCTTCTGCTGTCTTCCATCTTCATCTATCAAAATAAAGTGCTTACTTGGGATTTGCTGTAACTGTTACCTGATTGTGTTGCTGATGTTACAAAACACACACAGAAACACCCTGATGTGCCCTAAAAAAAAAAAAAGGCAGTAATTCAACCTATCATCCTACTAGCAGATGGTTCAGACCTATCTTAGTAGAGTAAGGAAAGTGGGTTTTTTGCACAAAATGCACAAAATATAGTTCTATCACCAATATGTTAAAGGCTTTATTTGAGAAAAATTAACCTCAGGAATTATTCTCAGGAAACATTCTCAACTGAGATCTTTAGTCAAGCAAGTCTAAGTAGACAAAGCTACCATAACATTTTTTGCTGTCCTTTGTCTTGTGACTATCTCAGTAAACATCAATTATGAAATCTGAGATTTAAAAAATAATGATTCAGCATTCTCTATTGGCCTGCTCATGGAAGGGCATGTCAACTAATTCCTTCTCTCACCTTTACTTTCTATTCCAGAGAATGTACAGGAATTCAGGCAATACTGCCAGAAAACATAGCTAGAAACTGGAGATAGCTTACAATTTTTTTTACCCTCAGAATTGTTTAAAGAGTGGATCATTGCAAACATTGCATGTTTCCCAGAAACTAACTGAAACACAATTCCTCTTGTGATGAGGAATTTTGACTTAGTCCTGAAAAGACTAAGTCCACTCTACCTTTATTCCCTTCATTTTCTTTCTCAAGGAAAGAAATGTTAATACTTTCCAGACTCCAGACTTGGGGCCTGTATCTTTACCTACTACTTACTATTAAAAAGTATGAATTGGAAGCATGGGAAAAAGAATCTTTTGGAAAGGGGCCCATCTTTCCCTGTGTTCTTCTATCTCATAAGAAATAAAGAATACTCAAATGCACATTGTATAACCAAAGAATATTAAGATAGTGTATAATCAAGGAAAATTGTATAAAGGAACATCATATGATCAAATAATATTAAGATGTTATAATAATGAAACAAACAAGAGAGTTAAGCAAAGCAAGACAAAGAGAATAGATAGGATACTTACCCATATCGTGGGCTCACTCAGGAAACTCCAGGAGTGGATCTTCAGAGAAAAGATCCTTCCCTGCTGGTAGTCAGCTCTTAAATGGGTCTAGGAGAGGTGGAGCCAGGCTCCACCCCTTCCTGCAGCACAGGTGAATTGCTTTCACCTGTGCTCCCAGGGCTGACTCATTGCTCACCTCAGGTGATCAATCAGAGGTTCAGGCCGAGACTCAGCAGTTCCCATACACACACAAACAAAAAGGGTAATACATTGATGAAAATTAGAACAGAAGTGGAAGAAACATCTGATTGAAATGTATTTGTATTTGAGGCTCTTGGTGATGATCTAGATTTATGCATCTAAATTACAATTAAATAATGTTAAAGTTGTGAGTAACTCACAAGAGCAAATAAATATGCAATTAAAGAGAAAATATACCATATGTCCTTTGATATCTAGGCATATTGCAGTGCATTAAGAAAGTCATAAAAGAGACACCCTGTTGTGGTTATGTGTTCTGAGACATGTGGCACACTTCCATTGTAGCTATCTATTTCCTTACTTGTATGCGTCTGTGCCATTATTTACATGTTGTTTTTTAAAGTAGAGCTGTGGAGTCTTTTTCCAATGTTTCTTTAGATCTGTTGCTATTTATGAATATAGAAGTCCAACATTTTAAAAATAGGAAGGAAAAACCATCCCAAAGAGAAGGGAAATAAATTGATTTAATTTAACTGCCTGACAAAACTAGGAAAAAGATGTGGCTTTAATTATTAGGAATGAATGATCTTAAGCACATATCGGTTGAATTCTATATACCAATCTCCCATATTTTGTGTGGAAATAGGAAGGCACTCAAAAGTTTTTCATATTTAATTTGGACTATTTTTGCAAAATACAATGGCCAGATACTTCGTTCATTTTATGGTTTCTCATCTGTAGAATCTCATAAGCCTATTTTTTCTCCTCTACTCATCATCAAGATGAAAATGTGGGAGAATATGGAGCAACATTTAGATCTTCAAAGCAGTACTTCTATGGCTGACACGTAAGCATTATTTTCTCCAATACTGCAGAAGCAGCTGGGTGAACAGAGAATGAGAGCAAGATAAGTCATACTTGTAAGAAAACATTTTGCTGAGTTCTTGGTGTTTAGTGTATTTCATGAGAACGCTTACTGTCCAGTTAATGAAGGGGCCTGCTGCCTTGGACACATTCACACACCTCACCAGCTCCTAAGAGCCATGAGTATACTTCTGCTAAAGAGTGAAGTCCTTGTTTTTCTACTTGCAGCTAGCTAAGAGATGGCACTTTCTACAGCTATCTTGCATTCTTCATTTCTAGAGGGCTGGAGGACCTGTCCTATGAAGATAGGTTGAGGGATCTGGGCTTGTCTAGCTTGGAGAAGAGGAGGCTTTGGGGAGACCTCATTGTGGCCTTCCAGTACTTGATGGGAGCTTATAAAGCCGGAGGGAGATTGATGTTTTACATGGTCTGATAACAATAGCACAAGGGGGAACAGTTTAAACTAAAAAAGAGGAGATTTAGGTTAGATGTCAGGGGGAAGATTTTCACTCAGAGGTTGGTGAGGCGCTGGCACAGCTACCCAGACAGTCTGTGGGTGCCCCATCCCTGGAGGCGCTCAAGGCCAGGTTGGATGGGGCACTGGGCAGCTGAGCTGCTGGATGGCAGCCCTGCCCATGGCATGGGGTGGGACTGGGTGGGCTTTGAGGTCCCTTCCAACCTTGTGATTCATTCTAAGGATTGCTCACTGTTTGTAACTTAAAAAAACCTCATCAGCTTAAGCAAAACTGTTGTGATTGAGCTCACTCAAAGAGCACAGGATGGTAACCATGAGTCACCGTGATAGCTATCAACTTGAGCAGAACAGGTTTCTTTAATCTCCTCACTTTTGCTGCGCTACCAGTACGGTAGCCACGATGACGGTAAAGCGTGTGGGAGACGGAGGAAAATACCCTGTTAGTACAAACGGGGGCTGGGAAAGGAGCCAGCAGGCCCCACACAGCCGAGCCGCGCGCACGCAGCAACAGCCGCTCCCCAGCAACTTCTTTTTTCGTTCCTCCACCTGTCAGTTCAGGCAGCGCTCCGAGGCGCCGCTCCCCGCCCCGCCGGCAGAGCGGGCTGCCCGGGCGCAACCAACTGCCGCCACGCGGGGAGCGGCGCAGCTCCGCGTAACGCGACAGCCGCCCGCTCCCACCTCCCCCTCTGCCGGCCGTACCACTTCACCGCCCGTCCGGCGCTGAGCAGAGCGGGGTCGGAACGTACCAACGCCGCGACAAAGAGGGGGGCGGCCGAGGAGGTCGGCGTGGCGCGGGGCGGCCGCGTTCGAACGGCGCGACCCGCTCTCGGCCCCGATGCTTCGGCCAAGATCCTGGAAGCGCCCGGCCTTCCTCGTGGCTCCCTTCTCGCTGTTTAAAAGCTCCGGGAGGAGCTCCCGGCCCGCTTTAGCCCTTCCCCGGCGGGAGCGGGCTGTGCCGCCCCGCCCCGCCCCCCGCGCAGCTCCGTTCCCGGATCGCGGCCGCCTCCCGCCGCCGCGGGGTGCGCGTGAGCGGGCGGGTGCGGGTTGGGCCCTGCTGGCGGCAGCGGCGCGACATGTCGGTGGCGTTCGCGGCCCCCCGGCAGCGGGGGAAGGGCGAGATCACGCCGGCCGCCATCCAGAAGGTGAGGGAGCGCCCGGGGCTTCGCGCCTCGAGGGGACGGCGGGGCGGAGCGAGGCTGAGGCCTCGGTGCGGTGCCGTGTAGGGCTGCGGGCCCGGCCGCGCTGATGGGGGCCGTGCGAGGCCGTCGGGGAAAACGAGCCGGGCCCGGCGTAACTGCGGGCTCCGCGGGGCGGGTGCTGGGGCCGCCGCAAAGTAAGGCCTTCTCCCGCTCTGCCCCTCCTCTGAAGCTTAAGGGAAGCGCTATGGCCGGCGGCCGTGACGGGGCTGCTGCGGGAGGGAGCAGCGAAAGGGAAGCGTGCCTGGGGTGCGTTCTGACCTCGGTATGCCGTGCTGGCGGAGTGAGGGAGTGTGCTTCGGTTCAGCGCTGTGCTGTGGGACTTAACCGTACGCCCTCGCTGTCACCAGCACAACTCTTGCTCTGAAATCTCTCCCACTCGTGATGGCAAGCTCCTCGTGCGGGAGCTCGTCAGATGCAATCGGCTTCTGGCTTAGGAAGGAACGTGGGTGTCGGCAGGGAGGGTGTTGCGGGCTCAGGGCGTCGTGGAAGACCTGGGGCTACGGTGTAGCCTTACACAGTAGCACAGCAGTCTGTGCTTCAGAAGTGAGGGTGGGAAATGCGTACCCACCGGGTAGAAAGCTGTCTGCAGGCTGCAGGTCGCTGACCTGGTGTTGAGAATGTAGACAGTTAGGTTTTTTTTGTGTTGTAGTCAAGCCACTAAGTCGGTGTTAGTGTACTGGCACAACTCTGCTATAGCTGAAGTTGGAGAATCTTTGTAACTGGCTCGTGTAAGTGTTCAGAAGTCTTGGAGGTGTCTTCATCCAGCTAGAAACGAGGCTATCTTGTGATGGCAGGTATCTGTAACTTCTTCATAGAACTTCTTCGGTTTTCCATCAGCAACAGCTGATAAAGATGGTATCAAACAGTGCTTTCAGTCCTGTCAGGCATACAGTTGTATTCTTTCTTGTTTGTTTTCCCTTGCTTTCCTCTTAGCTTTATTTATTTATTTTCCTCAAAGATGTCCAGCCTGTATGGCAGCAGTGAGGAGAACAACCATCTTGCTGGCACTTCCAAATTCTACCTGTATCGTAGAATGGCTTAGATTACAAGGGACCTTAAAGCCCACCCAGTCCCACCCTGTACCATGGGCAGGGCTAACACCCAGCAGCTCAGCTGCCTAGGGCCCCATCCAACCTGCCTTTGAGCACCTCCAGGGATGGGGCACCACAGCTTACATGGGCAGCTTGTTCAGTACCTCACCACCCCAGGTGCTGCCTTTCTCTAGACAGTTGGAGACTTTAAGAAGAGCCTTCATTCAAGGCTTCCCTTACTAGTACTCTATATACTGTATAAATTGCACTAATTGCTTTTTCCCCAGGTCTTTTTCTGTTGAATTTGGCCACTGCATTTCCTTAACACTTGATGTTAGCATATACGAAGTGTGCTAGTGTAGGAGTGTCCAGGATCCTCTTAGGTGTGTGCTAATGTAGTTCTGCTTAGTGTCAGGAGTTCAGAAACTTGGGATATTGTGGTTCTGTCTGTGGTTCCTACTTAAGGATGGTGTTTCCATGTCCAGCAATTTTGGGCAAGAATAATTTCTCACTGATTGTTCTACTGTATTTTGGTGCATTGCTTGTTTGAATTTAGGAAGACTCAACTGTTTGTTTTCATCTTATCTGGATGTAAATCCTTAGTGGACTAGGTTATAAGGTTTATGACCTTCTTTGATGGTGGATTAGTCAAAAGGAATTTTAAAAAGTTGTCTTTTTTTTTATTTTTTTGGTAGAATTTGCTGAAGTTGGATTCCTAGGGAAGTGAAAGTGATGTAATTACAGTGCTTGTGTTTCCCTTGTAGAATCATAAACCTGTCTAATCTCAACCAAGTTCAAACTTGAGATGTTTTGGTGTACGGAAGAAGGGAAGAGCCTTGAAGATGTTTAAGATTGTATTAGCTTTGTGAAATTCAGTAGCTGAATGTCATGTCCAAAACGTAAGGGGAAGTTAGAGGTGACCAGATTTGCAGATTTAAGATGTGGTACTTGGTAGCCTGCAAGGATCTAAACCAGTCTTCCACTGAGAAGAACCAAGAAATTGATGTAATATTTTCCATTTAGCTGAGCAGACTTGGGTAACTTGGTTGGTAGTTCAGACTTGCCATGGTTTTACTTAACTCCTGTCTGATCAGAGAGCAAATGAGGGGATTAAAACAAAGACATAAGCGTGAGGATGTGCAACTCTACGAAACCAGGCTGTATGTTTTTTCCTGTTTGTTAGTGTGGAACATCTTTCTTTCCCATACTTCCTGCAGAAGGCTATGAGACTAACAATTTCCCATGGTTTTAGAACTTTATTTTCCCCAGAAAAGTAATTAGCATATGTTCATATTCCCAGACACTTCTGAAATATTGTCTGTTGTGGCAGTTAAACTGTGTTTTAAGAGCATGTAATTACACAGAACATTTATAATGTAAATATGGCCTAACTTTTCAATGATTTCCTTGAAACAGTCTTGTCTGTTTCTATCAATTAACCATTACAATGCCTTTTATTATTGAACTGTTGACTTCGGAGGGAGAAGAAAAATTTATGCCCCGAGTTTTCAAGTTTGTTCTTCACTTGAGATTACATGAAAACTCAGAATACTTCCCATAAACTTCTTGTAGATGGAATATAGGTATTTAAATAGTAAATGTAATATAATATGTAGAATATAATTATACATAATATGTATAAAATGTAAATGTAGTTATAATAGTGACTTAAAACCCTTGTACCAAAACCTGTAAAACTTGGGAGGAAGAGCAAAAGGATGTAAGTAATTGGTTGAAGTAGGGCTTTCTGGAATATTAATTTTGTTTGTTTTAAAAAAAGAAATCAAAATTTGAGAATATCCAGACTCATAATTGTCTTCACTTATTTTTTTTCCCATGAAGAATGTTACACTTACCTGAGACTTCTTTATTGTTTCAGATGCTGGATGAAAATAACCATCTTATTCAGTGTATAATGGACTACCAAAACAAAGGAAAGACATCTGAATGCTCTCAGTAAGACATTAATCCAAATCTACTGTGGACCGGGTGAATTTCCATCTAGATCAGTTGATTTATTTAGCTCACCTTGAAAGAGAACCACGCTGAGAAGATTAGAAAAAATATTGCTGCAAATAATGTGGATAATTTTTTTCTTTGCTGTGTAACTATCACTTCCATCACTGAAACATTGCAACTTGAGTACTGCAAGTTGATAGCATAATGACAAAAAAAAAAAATGGGGACTGTGTAACTGAGAGATCTACCTGTGTGTTGTAATTACAGTTTGGGAAGGAGGCAGTTTTCTTCTCAGACCTCTCAAAATGATGCAGTATTTCTGCTGTTTACCACTTGCCCTAGAACAAACAAACTCCACCTTAAGTTTGGCTTGCCAGAATATACCATGTAAACCTGTTGTCTAGTGGGGTTTCTGGAGGGTGAGACAGCTGTGGACCTGGTCAGATATTCCTCCATGTGATGACAGATAGGTTATCACAGTGTGGCTGTTGAGGCCCTTTCTAAGAGGCTGGTAATCTGGGGGGAAAGCTGGGGTGACAAATGGTAGGTATTTTTGTTTCAGGGGATTACTTCTATTGATATGAGTAGAGTGTAGCACACAGTTACTATATTAAGCTGTATGCAAGCCTGTAGTTACGTGCTTGTACTCTGCTCCTGCTTACAAGGTTGTTCATTTGACTCTGGGCTGGATGTTGATACTCTAGAGTCTGGTTCTGCAGCAGAAAAAAATTCAACAGCAGACATTCAAATCTCAGGGTCCTGATGGAATGTTTATGCTGTTCTTGGTCATGATTCATATTGATATGATACCTTGCATCTAGGGACATAATAGAAAGAGCTCTCTTTCCCTAGCGTTTCTGTTGGAAATAACATCAAACAAACACTCATACTCTAAATGCCTCCTAGTGACTTTGCTTAGGGTAGGAAGTGAAACAGTTGAGGTCACCATGTTTTAGATTTAATTTGCAGTACAGAAACTGTAGAGGACAAGCCAGCCTTGGCAGAGAAATTGGGAAAGGTCGGTCAATAGGGAGATGTGAGGAAAGGATGTAGGATTTCTAATAATGGTACTCTTGTAAGTTGTTGGATGTTGTTTCTTGACACGTGTAGAGTTAAATTCCAGATTGTCACTGTGACTTAAGGCCTCTTTTCCTTTGTTTGTTTTGGTAGATACCAGCAGATGCTACACACAAACTTGGTTTATCTAGCTACTATAGCTGACTCCAACCAGAACATGCAGTCTCTGCTACCAGCAGTAAGTACAAAGTAGCATAAAACCAAGGTACTAGGTGTAATTTGGATTCATGGGGAGGGGGAGATGTTTGAAAAACTGTCCAAATAGTCTGCAATTTACTACGCAGTGAATACAAGATGGAATGTCTCTTCATGTCATATTTGAAGTCTCGTTAGCTCACTGCTTATATTATGCTCACAATCTGAGTTATTTAACTGAAGGCTTATAAACTGGGATTAAACATGCTGTGCATGCAGGTTGTCTGGTTTGGCTTATAGATGAGTTTGTTTTTTCTCAACTAAGAAATCTCCTGATGTGGCTCTTGATCAGCTCCTACAACAGTACTCTCTTTTTCCCCCTACGTCAGAGAAAAGTGAGGTGTTTAGTTTTATTTTACTTCTTGTTTTCTGCTAGAATATTATCCATTCTTGAGCCTTCATGGAATGGGGTTGGGTAAATATCAGCTTTGAGGTACTTTAGGTGAGTCTCTTAAATTCTTT